ACTCGGACACGCGCGCGTCGCAGATGAGGCAGTAGCAGTTGGGGCAAGCCGCCTCGTTGCCATCGACTGGCGCCGCGACCAGCCTCTCGGTTGCATGGAAGGGGTGGAGCGGGCAGAGCGCCCGCTGGTGCGGCAGGTGCTCGGGCAGCAAGCCTGTGCAGCATAGTGCTGCATTCGGTGAGACAGGGCATCTCATGGCGACTATCGACGGACGGGCGCCTGATGCAGCGGAGATCTGCACGTCGCCGCCTTCGAGCGTATCAGCGGCAGCGGCGGAGCTTTGAAGCGGCGGCGCCACCTCCTCCACCTCGTCCTCGCTCATCGCCGCCTCATCCGACGCCTCCGACTCCTCCTGCTCCACCTCCGCCTCCGCCTCCACCTCGTCGTCCTCCCCCGCCGCCTCTGGCTGCTGATCGGGCGGCAAGGGCGTAGCGTTGCTCGAGGAGGATGGCAGCGCGCCGCTACTGCTGCTGCTGCTGCCGCCGCCGCCGCCGCTGCTGCCGCCGCCGCCGCCGCTGCTGCTGCTGCCGCCGCGCCACCCGCCTCCGCCTCGCCTCTCCTCCTGCCCGGTGTCTGCCGCGCCTCGCGTCCGCTTCCCCAAGACGGCGCGCCCTCCGAATCTGCCCTTGCCAAAGTCGTACCGGAGCGGCGCAGTGTACTCGGCCGACAGCAAGGCTGCTCTCCGGAGTGCCATAGCCAGCGGAAGGAGGCCCGTGGCGGAGCGCGGCGATCCTGTGCTCGTGAGCACCCCGAGCAGCGAGCGGCACTCGCGCGCGTCCACATGCACAAACTTGCCCGCGGAGAGCGAGGCGAGGGCGGTGTAGAAGCCGGGCTGGCCGTGCTTCGCGAGCTCGGGGCACAGCGGCTGCCCGATACCCCTATGCTTGCGCGTGAAGAGCCAGTAGATCTGCACCGCGTCGGCGACCGTGAGCGTGACCGGCGGAGCGGCGTACTTTTCAGGGTTGGACATCATGGCGCGGAGGCCCTCCACTGCCCGGCTTTTTGGGTCGAGCAGGGGCAGCGCCGCATCATCGGCGCCGTCGGCGCTGGAGAGCCCACCACCGCCGTCAAGAGACGACAGCACGTGGGCAGCTGAAGGGCTGCCCGCGGGCGGTGTTGGCGAGCATGCCTGCGCCGCCGAGGTTGTCAGCGAGGCCTCCTCACCGCCGCAGACAATCGCACAGGAGTGGGCGCAAACGGCGCAGCGCGAGGCCTCGCCGTCACCCTCGCCTCCGCCGCCGCAGACCGGCTCGACCACTCCGTCTGCCTCCGTCGCGGTGCTGGTCACTGTCGCGGTACCAATGAATTTGCCCATGCAAAAGTTGTAGAGGCGAGCGGCGAAGCCCTTAGTGCGGACTTCCTCTCTCATCATAAGCTTCGTGTGTGCGATCGACACGCGCGCTAACCCGACCCCTGGGTTCCGGCTGCATACAGGTAGGGGGTCTGTGCATTGGTCTTGTTTGGCCCAAGACAGGCGTTTTTTGGACGGGCAGATCCTTCCACCCTTGATATTCAATTCACAGGTGCTCGGCAAAAAAGTCAGCCGAGATCTGGAGAGCCGTCTCCACGTCTCTGGCCGTCGCCGCGTCGCTCGTGTCGCCCCGGGCCACGAAACCGTGGTGCATCTCGGGGAAGGGATGGGAGACGCACGCGAACCCGAGATCCCTCACCGCCGCGGTGACCGCGCCCTCCTCGCCGTAGTCATCGAGGCTGTCCTCCTGCGCCGGCAGGAGCAGCATCGGGCACTTGCCGGTTTTCGCCGCGAACTCGCCGGGCTGCCCCGGCTCGCCATAGAAGCCCGCGGCCTGCAGCGAGGGGTGCGCAGAAACGCCGGCGCGGATGATGCCAGCACCGGCGGCGTGGAACACGGGAACGGCACCCCAGCACAAACCGAATCCGCCGACGTTGGCGGACCCCATCTCGCCGGCCAGGAACGCTTTGCATCCCTCCAGCATCGGCATGTACTTGGCGGGGTTCTGCGCCGAGATCCAGCCCACCGTTTCCTCGGCGCCAGACATGAAGCCGTCCAGACCACCGAAGCCGTTGATCTCGGTTCCGGTGTAGACGTCGGGCATGATCACGTTGAAGCCGCACTTCGCAAAGGAGTCGCACACGCTCTTGATGCGCCCGCCAGAGAAGCCGAACACGTCGTACGCGACGATGAGGCCGCCGCGGGCCGTTCCCTCTGCTGCCACGACATAGTGGTTCACGTCATCAAGCTGGATCACCTGGCCGTCCAGCTCCCGGTCCTCGTCGGCAGCCAGCGCGGGCAGGGCCCCCGGAGGGCAGCAGCTGCCCGACAGGGCGCGTCTGGCGGTGCGCGAGAGCGCCGGAAGAGACGAGGAGCGAAGGAGCATCGCTCGTGGCAGTTTGGCGTGGCTGCCGACCCGAAGGCAGGATCTAGTCTTCCAACTCGTTGCAGGTTTGGCGTGGCTGCTTGTCTACAGCAGCTGGTCGGGAACCAGGAGGCCGCAGACCGCGGCGCCATTGTTTCTTTTTTCAACACTTACTGGCAGGTTTCTTTCCCCCTCGGTCAGACACGCCGTTGTATCATGCGGAACGCGGTGCGTCTGGCGGCGCCACCACCCTTGGCAGCACAAAGCCGCGCCAGAGGTCCGCCAGCTCCGGAGCCGCTCCCTCGCGGCTGTCGAAGCGCTCCTCGTCCCACGCGATCAGGTAGCCCAGCCGCATCACCGCGACCGCCCGCTTGCGGGCCGCCTCCGGGAAGAGCTCGTGGGACTGCGGCGACCACTCCGCCGCCTTGAGGATGAGCCTGCCCACCTCCACTGCCGCGGCCGCTGGCTCCAGGTTGGCCGGCCTGAGGGAGGGCAGAGGCGTGGGGTGTCGAGAGAGAGAGCATCCGGCGAGTGGGGAAGAGACCATGGCGCGCCTCAGTGCGAGGGCCTTGGCCTCGCCCGCCACGCGCACGCCGAAGCGTCCCGTCGAAGCGCTCGCGGAGACGACGACGCCGACCTTGCCGTTCAGCGAGGGCCGCGAGACGAGAGAGTGGATCGCGACTGTGGAACCGACAGCCGCAGCTGTCGGATCCGACTCGCTCCACGAGCAGAGGACGCGCGCCCGCTCGAGGGCCGAAGGCTCGCCGGCTGAAGAGTCCGCGTCGCCGCGCAGCAGCGCCCGCGCCCGGTCGACGGTGAGCGCCTGCGGGAGGAGGGACAGTGAGCGTGAGGACAATGCACTCACGCTACTTCAGCCGCTAGTCTCGGGCATGCCTCGAGGTGCTGGAGCGGCGTCCAGCCGCGGCTGGCGACCAGCCAAGCGGCGAGGTCGGCGTGGCCTTGGAAGTTCGCGAGCTCCTCGAGCGTTCCGGCGGGCGTTGCGGCGCGGGAGGCGCCGTAGGAGGAGAGGAGCTTGGCGACCTCGAGGTGGCCCTGGTGGCACGCAGCGAGCAGCGGCGTGACGCCGTTGTTGCGGGCTTGGCTGACCGTCGCATTGGCCTCTAGAAGCAGCCGGACGATCTCGACGTGGCCAAACTGGCATGCGATGGACAGCGGCGTGACGCCATTCTCCTCGGCCTGGTTGATTGCCGCGTCAGCCTCGAGAAGCAGCTGGGCGATCTCGAGCTGGCCCTTCTCGCACGCGATGTATAGAGGCGTGGAGCCGTTCTCCTTGGCTTGGTTGACCGAAGCGCTGGCCTCGAGGAGCAGCTGGGTGATCTCGACGCGCCCCTGCAGGCATGCCACGAGCAGCGGCGTGACGCCGCCATCCATGAATTGGCCGACCGCTGCGCCAGCAACGCACAGTAGACGGACGATCTCGAGGTGGCCTTGCTGGCACGCGCTGAGCAGCGGCGTGAAGCCGTTGTTCGTCGCTTGGTCGATCGCCGCGTTGGCCTCGAGGAGCAGCTTGACGATCTCGAGGTGGTTGTTCTGGCACGCGATGAGCAGCGGTGTGACGCCGTCGTTGCGGGCTTGGCCGACCGCCGCGCCAGCCTCGAGAAGCAGCCGGACGATGTCAACGTGCCCCTGCTGGCACGCCATGAGCAGCGGCGTGCCGCCTTGCTTCTCGGCTTGCTTGACCGCCGCGCCCGCCTTGAGGAGCAGCCGGACGATGTCGACGTGGCCCTTCTGGCACGCCATGATCAGCGGCGTGAAGCCATCGTGCAGGGAATGGTTGACCGCCGCGCCAGCCTGCTGGAGCAGCCGGACGCACTCGAGGTGGCCCTTCTGGCACGCGATGTACAGCGCGGAAGCGCCGCCGCCAGTCGTCCCCCCAGCGCTCGCGCCGGCTTCGAGCAGCAGCCGCACCGCCTCGGCCTGCCCGTGACGAGCGGCCCAGGTGAGCAGCGTGTCTTGCTTCTCGGTCTTGAGCCGCGCGTCGAGCTGGGCCGTGAGCGACGTGCCGCGCGTCCCCCAACCGGATAGGACGGCGCGCAGCGAGCCCAGGTTTCCCACCGCCAGATCGGGGAGCAGAGTTGGGCTCGCGCCGCCGCTCATGCCGGGGAGGCGGAGATTCAAAACAAAAAAATACGCGGGAGAAAAAAAGTGTGAAGGTCAATCCTGAGACGCCTCACTACTCGGCGCCTCCCTTCCGCACCTTTTTGCAGTCCTCTGGTGAGTCCTCAGCCTCGACCGCACCTGCATCCTCCCGCGTCGGTGCAAAGCACGCGTGCTACAGCCGGCGATGACCCGCCATGACGTTGGCAAACTCACTCGCTCTTACGCTGCTGGCGGCGGCTGGCTCTTCCTCGGCGCCGCGCCTCGCCCCGCTCGCGCTCCTCCTGCTGGCGGGTCGCTGCGAGGCCGCGGGCACGATATGCGACAACAGCGTGCCATGCTTCTCTGTCACAGTCTCAGTTAAGTTAGTTAGTCTCACCTTTTGTCTTTTCTCGATTCTCGCTCGAGAAGAATTGAATCAACAAAAACAAACACGTAAAATTGAAAGCCACAACCGGGCCCGAAATCGCACAGAGAACTCTCTCTCACAGCACAGGCAAGCAAGCAAGAAGAATTTTACAACAAAGCGCGATGGAGACTGCGGAGTACATGCTGCAGGAAGTCAATGGGCTTGAAACGACCGTCGTGGCTTTCGCGCGAGGAATATTGCTGGGCGATGCCGTACTGGTGCCTCTCGCCTACTCGTACGTAGCGGAGACACACATATGGCATATTAGTTGATTTACGACTGAATACTCGGTATGGTCCATCCCGCGCCGCAACTCGGAATGAGGATTCATTTCTCCTGCCGACCAATCCTGCTTGCTTGCTTCCTGCTGAGTGAGTCCGCGCGCAGCCGCTGAGATCATTCTCTCCGTAGAGATCGGGCGCGCGATGTTTTTGGCGTTGCCCCCGGGGTGTTGGTTGCGCTTCAGGCAGCAGGGAGCAGGCGCGCACCCTCGCACCTTCAGGCAATAGCACCGTCAGCGCCCTCGACCAGCTGCACGAGGAGAACATGGCTCTGCGGCGGGAGAACGAGCAGCTCCGCCAGGAGACGAGACACTGCTTTTCCTTTTGCCTTCACTCATGAAATCGTAGCGCGTAGGGTCGCTTCACGAGTTCACGAAGATCGAAGTCCCCAATGGCAATATGAATCCTTGGCAATGTGCACCGACCAATTCTTTTTAGTTTCGCCTCGGTTTCAATCTATATGTCTGAATCTG